TGTATTTTTCTGCCCAATGCAGCCGTTTCTGCTTGTGAGCATTGGTTAGTGGTGGCCGAATAGAAGGTTTATGCACAGTTGCAGGACTCTGGAGGACTCTACACCTTGATGTCCGTGGGACTCCAGAGGCACCAGCAGCTTCAAATATCTGTTTGCTGCTATGTAATGGGATTTTAGCAGCTGCTCTCTTGATCCGATGCCTGGATCTGGCAGAAATCTTCCTCAATGTGCCTTTATCTGCACCAACCTGTCTGTGCTCTGAATCAGCCACAAATCTCTTCATAGTGCGATGATCACACTGACATTTTCCTGAAATATCGAATGTTTTCATCCCTCGTCCAAGGCATCGAACTATTTCACTCTTTTCGGCAGCAGAGAGATCCTTTTTCTTCCCCATATTGCTTGAAAATGGCGCTCTGCTTAATAATGGGGAACGCCGTCCTTTAGGAGTTTGTCCTGAAATTGGGCTCACCGGCCAATCTAATGATCACAGGTGTCCCAGATTGTTTTCAGTGAGCAAAAGAGCCCTGACACACAATGCCATCCATGAGTTACACTGAAAAACAAAAGATTTCATCTTTGTGACACTAAAAAAGAATTTGCGTAATAATTTGGAACGCGGTGTAATGAAGAGGATAAAGAAGAAGCCGTGAACACGGACGTGTAACCAGAGAGAGAGAAAAGGAATCCAAAAAACGAGAGATCGTTCTCTGGAATTCGCTCAGAATAAACGTTTTCAGATGAAACACCGAGAGCAAAAGAGGCAGAAAGGGCTGGCGGTGTTGTCTGTGTTTACTGACATTCACTGACATGTTTCACACCCTGGAAAATCAATGAAATCTACCAGCAGGTGTGAGAGGCGCCAATTACCGATTCTGTAAACAATTTACTGTCATCACATAAACAGATCAGAGGTACAACTTCAATCCAAGCCGCCGCATTGACGGGGCGACTCAAATCAAAGGTCGACTGCTGGGCTACAGAGATGGGGCTGCTGTGTCTTCACAGGATACAAGGTGTATACCCGGGACATCGAATTATAATTCAAGGAGGTCTGGGCACTAAATCCAAGTCCGAATATCAAGTAGACGCTCGGGGGGGGGGGATTTATGAAAACTGGTGCAATCAGAATCTGGTGCAGCAGCTCTGCATGGCGGCCAATCAGCTTCTACCTTCATCTTCTTCAATGAAGCTTCGACATAAAACCTGGAAGCTGATTGGTTTCTACGCAGAGCTGTAAATGTACATTTCCAGCATTTCAACAATATTGATTGTCAAGCTTCATCAGCTGTCCCCACCAGAGTGCCCCTTTCCAAAATATTCCCCCCCAGAGTTCCCCTTTCCATCATATTCCCCCCCAGAGTGCCCCTTTCCATCATATTCCCCCCCAGAGTGCCCCCTTTACATCATATTCCCCCCCAGAGTGCCCCTTTCCATCATATTCCCCCCCAGAGTGCCCCTTTCCATCATACTCCCCCCCAGAGTGCCCCTTTCCATAATACTACTCCCCCCCAGAGTGCCCCTTTCCATCATATTCCCCACCAGAGTGCCCCTTTACATCATATTCCCCCCCAGAGTGCCCCTTTCCATCATATTCCCCCCCAGAGTGCCCCTTTCCATAATATTCCCCACCGGAGTGCCCCTTTCCATCATATTCCCCCCCAGAGTGCCCCTTTCCATAATATTCCCCCCCCCAGAGTGCCCCTTTCCATCATATTCCCCCCCAGAGTGCCCCTTTCCATCATATTCCCCACCAGAGTGCACCTTTCCAAAATATTCCCCCCCAGAGTGCCCCTTTCCATCATATTCCCCCCCAGAGTGCCCCTTTACATCATATTCCCCCCCAGAGTGCCCCTTTCCATAATATTCCCCCCCAGAGTGCCCCTTTCCATCATATTCCCCCCCAGAGTGCCCCTTTCCATCATACTCCCCCCCAGAGTGCCCCTTTCCATCATACTCCCCACCGGAGTGCCCCTTTCCATCATATTCCCCCCCAGAGTGCCCCTTTCCATCATACTCCCCCCCAGAGTGCCCCTTTCCATCATATTCCCCCCCAGAGTGCCCCTTTCCATCATACTCCCCCCAGAGTGCCCCTTTCCATCATATTCCCCCCCAGAGTTCCCCTTTCCAAAATATTCCCCACCAGAGTGCCCCTTTCCATCATATTCCCCACCGGAGTGCCCCTTTCCATCATATTCCCCCCCAGAGTGCCCCTTTCCAAAATATTCCCCACCAGAGTGCCCCTTTCCAAAATATTCCCCACCAGAGTGCCCCTTTACATCATATTCCCCCCCAGAGTGCCCCTTTCCATCATATTCCCCCCCAGAGTGCCCCTTTACATCATATTCCCCACCAGAGTGCCCCTTTCCAAAAAAATGTGCCCATCAGAGTGCCCCTTTCCATCATATTCCACACCAGAGTGCCCCTTTCCAAAATATTCCCCACCAGAGTGCCCCTTTACATCATATTCCCCCCCAGAGTGCCCCTTTCCATCATATTCCCCACCAGAGTGCCCCTTTCCATCATACTCCCCCCAGAGTGCCCCTTTCCATCATATTCCACACCAGAGTGCCCCTTTCCAAAATATTCCCCCCCAGAGTGCCCCTTTCCATCATATTCCCCCCCAGAGTGACCCTTTCCATCATACTCCCCCCCAGAGTGCCCCTTTCCATCACATTCCCCCCCCAGAGTGCCCCTTTCCATCATACTCCCCCCCAGAGTGCCCCTTTCCATCATACTCCCCCCCAGAGTGCACCTTTCCATCATACTCCCCCCAGAGTGCACCTTTCCATCATACTCCCCCCCAGGGTTGTTTTCATCGGCATACACTTGGACGTAGCCCCTTCTCATCCCCTCCAAGTGTTTGCCGAGGAAATCATCATCATCAGTAATCAGCATGGATTTAGGAATCACATCAACCTGTTACCATTCTATGAGGAAGTGAGCGGCCACCTAGGTGAAGGGCTGGACTAGGCTGGTCTGGGGTGATAGGTGGCTGGACTAGGCCGGTCTGGGGTGATAGGTGGGTGGACTAGGCTGGTCTGGGGTGATAGGTGGGTGGACTAGGCCGGTCTGGGGTGATAGGTGGGTGGACTAGGCCGGTGTGGGGTGATAGGTGGCTGGACTAGGCCGGTGTGGGGTGATAGGTGGCTGGACTAGGCCGGTCTGGGGTGATAGGTGGGTGGACTAGGCTGGTCTGCGGTGATAGGTGGGTGGACTAGGCCGGTCTGGGGTGATAGGTGGCTGGACTAGGCCGGTCTGGGGTGATAGGTGGGTGGACTAGGCCGGTCTGGGGTGATAGGTGGGTGGACTAGGCCGGTCTGGGGTGATAGGTGGTTGGACTAGGCCGGTCTGGGGTGATAGGTGGGTGGACTAGGCTGGTCTGGGGTGATAGGTGGGTGGACTAGGCTGGTCTGGGGTGATAGGTGGGTGGACTAGGGGGGTGTGGGGTGATAGGTGGCTGGACTAGGCCGGTGTGGGGTGATAGGTGGGTGGACTAGGCCGGTCTGGGGTGATAGGTGGGTGGACTAGGCTGGTCTGGGGTGATAGGTGGGTGGACTAGGCCGGTCTGGGGTGATAGGTGGGTGGACTAGGCCGGTCTGGGGTGATAGGTGGGTGGACTAGGCTGGTCTGGGGTGATAGGTGGGTGGACTAGGCTGGTCTGGGGTGATAGGTGGGTGGACTAGGCTGGTCTGGGGTGATAGGTGGGTGGACTAGGTGGGGGGTAGGACTAGGTCTGGGGTGATAGGTGGGTGGACTAGGCTGGGGGATAGGTGGGGTGCCGGTCTGGGGTGATAGGTGGGTGGACTAGGCTGGGGTCTGGGGTGACTAGGCCGGTCTGGGGTGATAGGTGGACTAGGCCGGTCTGGGGTGATAGGTGGGTGGACTAGGCCGGTCTGGGGTGATAGGTGGGTGGGACTAGGCTGGTCTGGGGTGATAGGTGGGTGGACTAGGCCGGTCTGGGGTGGGTGTGGACTAGGCCGGTCTGGGGTGATAGGTGGGTGGACTAGGCTGGTCTGGGGTGATAGGTGGGTGGACTAGGCGGTCTGGGGTGATAGGTGGGTGGACTAGGCCGGTCTGGGGTGATAGGTGGGTGGACTAGGCCGGTCTGGGGTGATAGGTGGGTGGACTAGGCCGGTCTGGGGTGATAGGTGGGTGGACTAGGCCGGTCTAGGGGGTGATAGGTCTGGGGTGGTGGGGGACTAGGCCGGTCTGGGGTGATAGGTGGGTGGACTAGGCTGGTCTGGGGTGATAGGTGGGTGGACTAGGCTGGTCTGGGGTGATAGGTGGGTGGACTAGGCTGGTCTGGGGTCTGGGTGATAGGTGATAGGTGGGTGGACTGGACTAGGCCGGTCTAGGGGGTGATAGGTGGGGTGGACTAGGCCGGTCTGGGGTGATAGGTGGGTGGACTAGGCCGGTCTGGGGTGATAGGTGGGTGGACTAGGCCGGTCTGGGGTGATAGGTGGGTGGACTAGGCTGGTCTGGGGTGATAGGTGGGTGGACTAGGCTGGTCTGGGGTGATAGGTGGGTGGACTAGGCTGGCTGGTCTGGGGTGATAGGTGGCTGGACTAGGCTGGTCTGGGGTGATAGGTGGGTGGACTAGGCCGGTCTGGGGTGATAGGTGGGTGGACTAGGCTGGTCTGGGGTGATAGGTGGGTGGACTAGGCTGGTCTGGGGTGATAGGTGGGTGGACTAGGCTGGTCTGGGGTGATAGGTGGGGTACCCCCAGGGCTCTCCTTTCATAGATGACAGAGTGGTACCAATATTTAAAGACGGGGCCGAGATACATTCCTGGAACCGCAGGCAAGTCAGGCTAACATCAATAGTATGTAAACTACTGGAGGGGAAGATGAGGGAATACATCATCATCAGTACTAATCATCATGGCTTGAGACACAGACTACTGCAGGAAATCTCCCCATTGTGGGAGGGGCAGAGACACCAACTACTGCAGGAAATCTCCCCATTGTGGGAGGGGCAGAGACACCAACTACTGCATGAAATCTCCCCATTGTGGGAGGGGCAGAGACACCAACTACTGCAGGAAATCTCCCCATTGTGGGAGGGGCAGAGACACCAACTACTGCAGGAAATCTCCCCATTGTGGGAGGGGCAGAGACACAAACTACTGCAGGAAATCTCCCCATTGTGGGAGGGGCAGAGACACAAACTACTGCAGGAAATCTCCCCATTGTGGGAGGGGCAGAGACACAAACTACTGCAGGAAATCTTCCCATTGTGGGAGGGGCAGAGACACAACCTACTGCAGGAAATCTTCCCATTGTGGGAGGGGCAGAGACACAACCTACTGCAGGAAATCTCCCCATTGTGGGAGGGGCAGAGACACAACCTACTGCAGGAAATCTCCCCATTGTGGGAGGGGCAGAGACACAGACTACTGCAGGAAATCTCCCCATTGTGGGAGGGGCAGAGACACAAACTACTGCAGGAAATCTCCCCATTGTGGGAGGGGCAGAGACACCAACTACTGCATGAAATCTCCCCATTGTGGGAGGGGCAGAGACACCAACTACTGCAGGAAATCTCCCCATTGTGGGAGGGGCAGAGACACCAACTACTGCAGGAAATCTCCCCATTGTGGGAGGGGCAGAGACACAAACTACTGCAGGAAATCTCCCCATTGTGGGAGGGGCAGAGACACAAACTACTGCAGGAAATCTCCCCATTGTGGGAGGGGCAGAGACACAAACTACTGCAGGAAATCTCCCCATTGTGGGAGGGGCAGAGACACAACCTACTGCAGGAAATCTTCCCATTGTGGGAGGGGCAGAGACACAACCTACTGCAGGAAATCTCCCCATTGTGGGAGGGGCAGAGACACAACCTACTGCAGGAAATCTCCCCATTGTGGGAGGGGCAGAGACACAGACTACTGCAGGAAATCTCCCCATTGTGGGAGGGGCAGAGACACAAACTACTGCAGGAAATCTCCCCATTGTGGGAGGGGCAGAGACACAACCTACTGCAGGAAATCTCCCCATTGTGGGAGGGGCAGAGACACCAACTACTGCAAGAAATCTCCCCATTGTGGGAGGAGCAGAGACACAAACTACTGCAAGAAATCACCCCATTGTGGGAGGGGCAGAGACACCAACTACTGCAAGAAATCACCCCATTGTTGGAGGGGCAGAGACGCAAACTACTGGGGGAGATCTCCCCATTGTGGGAGGGGCAGAGACACCAACTACTACAGGAGATGTCCCCATTGTGGGAGGGGCAGAGACTCAAACTACTGGGGGAGATCTCCCCATTGTGGGAGGAGCAGAGACGCAAACTACTGGGGGAGATCTCCCCATTGTGGGAGGAGCAGAGACACCAACTACTGCAGGAGATCTTCCCATTGTGGGAGGGGCAGAGACGCAAACTACTGGGGGAGATCTCCCCATTGTGGGAGGAGCAGAGACACCAACTACTGCAGGAGATCTTCCCATTGTGGGAGGGGCAGAGACACAAACTACTGGGGGAGATCTCCCCATTGTGGGCGGAGCAGAGACACCAACTACTGCAGGAGATGTCCCCATTGTGGGAGGGGTGGTAATAAAAAGAGTTAACCCTTCCTACACATCCGCACCTCTGAGCTGCACTGTGCACAAATGCCAGTTTTCAGCCCGAGTAGTTCAGCAGATATTTTTGGGGGGACTAGAAGGTGAAAGCATAGAAACCTCCCAGATATCGGGGAAGAAAGTCCCCCAGTATATGGCAGAATGTAGACGGTCAGACAGTCAGACAGAACAATCAGAGCAAAGGACGCGCGCTTTAAGTTTTTTTTCCCCTTTGATGATTGTATCCAGTTGGTGGGTAATTCATAAAAGCGGAGATGAGTGTGCGGCGGGGGCGCTGTGTGCGGTGGGGGTGCTGTGTGCGGTGGGGGCGCTGTGTGCGGCGGGGGCGCTGTGTGCGGTGGGGGTGCTGTGTGCGGTGGGGGCGCTGTGTGCGTCCTCCTGGAAGGCCGAGCGTCTAATGGCACTGTGAGCCTAATCCGAGCGGACTGAACCAGGTCATGCTGATCGCCCGCAGCTGTGCCGAGACCCATGAATGCCGCTCACCCCGGACATCCACGGTCACGGCACTCATACAGAGCAGACGAGCCGACCGCAGTGTGCGCTACAATGGAAGAATAGAACCCACCACAGTGTGCGCTACAATGGGAGAATAGAACCCCCCGCAGTGTGCGCTACAATGGAAGAATAGAACCCACCACAGTGTGCGCTACAATGGGAGAATAGAACCCGCCACAGTGTGCGCTACAATGGGAGAATAGAACCCGTCACAGTGTGCGCTACAATGGGAGAATAGAACCCGCTGCAGTGTGCGCTACAATGGGAGAATAGAACCCGTCGCAGTGTGCGCTACAATGGGAGAATAGAACCCGCTGCAGTGTGTGCTACAATGGGAGAATAGAACCCGCCACAGTGTGCGCTACAATGGGAGAATAGAACCCGTCGCAGTGTGCGCTACAATAGGAGAATACAACCCGCCACAGTGTGCGCTACAATGGGAGAATAGAACCCGCTGCAGTGCGCGCTACAATGGGAGATTAGAACCCGCCACAGTGTGCGCTACAATGGGAGAATAGAACCCCCCGCAGTGCGCGCTACAATGGGAGATTAGAACCCGCCACAGTGTGCACTACAATGGGAGATTAGAACCCGCCACAGTGTGCGCTACAATGGGAGAATAGAACCCGCTGCAGTGTGCGCTACAATGGGAGAATAGAACCCCCCGCAGTGCGCGCTACAATGGGAGAATAGAACCCGCCACAGTGCGCGCTACAATGGGAGAATAGAACCCGCCACAGTGTGCGCTACAATGGGAGAATAGAACCCCCCCGCAGTGTGCGCTACAATGGGAGAATAGAACCCGCCTCAGTGTGCGCTACAATGGGAGAATAGAACCCGCCACAGTGTGCGCTACAATGGGAGAATAGAACCCCCCGCAGTGTGCGCTACAATGGGAGAATAGAACCCGCCTCAGTGTGCGCTACAATGGGAGAATAGAACCCCCCGCAGTGTGCGCTACAATTTTAATTGTTACTTAACTCCTCCCACTACTTGTATCCTCCAGTCCTCCAGCAGTCCTCCAGCAGAGCAGAGTATTTCAGGAGAGGAGAGTTATAGAGGAAGGAGCGGAGTCCTCCAGCAGAGCAGAGTATTTCAGGAGAGGAGAGTTATAGAGGAAGGAGCGGAGTCCTCCAGCAGTGCAGAGTATTTCAGGAGAGGAGAGTTATAGAGGAAGGAGAGGAGTCCTCCAGCAGAGCAGAGTATTTCAGGAGAGGAGAGTTATAGAGGAAGGAGAGGAGTCCTCCAGCAGCGCAGAGTATTTCAGGAGAGGAGAGTTATAGAGGAAGGAGCGGAGTCCTCCAGCAGAGCAGAGTATTTCAGGAGAGGAGTTATAGAGGAAGGAGCGGAGTCCTCCAGCAGCGCAGAGTATTTCAGGAGAGGAGAGTTAAAGAGGAAGGAGCGGAGTCCTCCAGCAGAGCAGAGTATTTCAGGAGAGGAGTTATAGAGGAAGGAGAGGAGTCCTCCAGCAGCGCAGAGTATTTCAGGAGAGGAGAGTTATAGAGGAAGGAGCGGAGTCCTCCGGCAGCGCAGAGTATTTCAGGAGAGGAGTTATAGAGGAAGGAGAGGAGTCCTCCAGCAGAGCAGAGTATTTCAGGAGAGGAGAGTTATAGAGGAAGGAGCGGAGTCCTCCAGCAGTGCAGAGTATTTCAGGAGAGGAGTTATAGAGGAAGGAGAGGAGTCCTCCAGCAGAGCAGAGTATTTCAGGAGAGGAGAGTTATAGAGGAAGGAGAGGAGTCCTCCAGCAGTGCAGAGTATTTCAGGAGAGGAGTTATAGAGGAAGGAGAGGAGTCCTCCAGCAGTGCAGAGTATTTCAGGAGAGGAGAGTTATAGAGGAAGGAGAGGAGTCCTCCAGCAGCGCAGAGTATTTCAGGAGAGGAGAGTTATAGAGGAAGGAGAGGAGTCCTCCAGCAGCGCAGAGTATTTCAGGAGAGGAGTTATAGAGGAAGGAGAGGAGTCCTCCAGCAGTGCAGAGTATTTCAGGAGAGGAGTTATAGAGGAAGGAGAGGAGTCCTCCAGCAGCGCAGAGTATTTCAGGAGAGGAGAGTTATAGAGGAAGGAGAGGAGTCCTCCAGCAGTGCAGAGTATTTCAGGAGAGGAGTTATAGAGGAAGGAGAGGAGTCCTCCGGCAGTGCAGAGTATTTCAAAAGAGGAGTTATAGAGGAAGGAGCGGAGTCCTCCAGCAGTGCAGAGTATTTCAGGAGAGGAGTTATAGAGGAAGGAGAGGAGTCCTCCGGCAGCGCAGAGTATTTCAGGAGAGGAGAGTTATAGAGGAAGGAGAGGAGTCCTCCAGCAGTGCAGAGTATTTCAGGAGAGGAGTTATAGAGGAAGGAGAGGAGTCCTCCAGCAGTGCAGAGTATTTCAGGAGAGGAGTTATAGAGGAAGGAGCGGAGTCCTCCGGCAGTGCAGAGTATTTCAGGAGAGGAGTTATAGAGGAAGGAGAGGAGTCCTCCAGCAGAGCAGAGTATTTCAGGAGAGGAGTTATAGAGGAAGGAGCGGAGTCCTCCAGCAGTGCAGAGTATTTCAGGAGAGGAGAGTTATAGAGGAAGGAGCGGAGTCCTCCAGCAGCGCAGAGTATTTCAGGAGAGGAGTTATAGAGGAAGGAGAGGAGTCCTCCAGCAGAGCAGAGTATTTCAGGAGAGGAGTTATAGAGGAAGGAGAGGAGTCCTCCAGCAGCGCAGAGTATTTCAGGAGAGGAGTTATAGAGGAAGGAGAGGAGTCCTCCGGCAGTGCAGAGTATTTCAGGAGAGGAGTTATAGAGGAAGGAGCGGAGTCCTCCAGCAGCGCAGAGTATTTCAGGAGAGGAGTTATAGAGGAAGGAGAGGAGTCCTCCAGCAGCGCAGAGTATTTCAGGAGAGGAGTTATAGAGGAAGGAGAGGAGTCCTCCGGCAGTGCAGAGTATTTCAGGAGAGGAGTTATAGAGGAAGGAGCGGAGTCCTCCAGCAGCGCAGAGTATTTCAGGAGAGGAGTTATAGAGGAAGGAGAGGAGTATTTCAGGTCATGCTATGATCACATATGTAGACATTACCTGTCCAGCCAGGCCAGCAGATTCTTAGCAGCACCAATCAGATCCACCACGGAGGTGAGGAAGTCGTTGGGAAGTCTCCGGGAGGCCCTCCCATCGTAGTGGCCGCTCCGCCTTCGCCCCGTGATGAAGTTCTGGAGGTTTTTGGCGGAGGCGTTCAGTTTGTGGGAGAGTGTGCGCAGGTTCTCCGTCTCCAGGCCGTAATTCTGCAAGGAAGCAAAGAATACATATTCAGGCTGGAAATTCCCGCAAAGCATACAAAAGAACAAGATGGCGTGCGAGACGCGGGCGCGATTATTCGTTTCTGGCGTCTGAGAGCCAAACGTATCCTACCGAGCGGAACCTTCATTTATTCCGGCCCCTGGAACACATTTATACACATCGCTCCGTGTTAATGCGCATTTATGTGAGTTTACATGCATTTACGCACTTTTTTTTTTCTCCTAAAAAGCTGAACCGCCCCCCCCAAACCCCGCCCCCAAATGCGCCTTTGGTGGGTTTTTTTCCTCTGCCTATAAACGCTCCTTAATACTCAAATACTCCTGTAAATACCTTTGTGTGCATGAGATCATAGGCTGCCATAGCGG